CGGCAGCACTGGTGCTGAGCCAGTGCTCTGCCACCAGAGCGGATCCCTTGCAGGCAGGTCTACAAGGGTTGGTTGTAGCTCTGCGCCTGGAGCAAACCCTGCTCCGGATGCTGGGTGGACGGGAAGGAGGTGCCGGTCCCTCCCCGGGGCAGAGGGAAGACACGGAGGTTGCTCACAGACTGTGGGCCAAGCTCCCTGTGACTTGTAGTTGCCCATGACCCCCTCTGCTCCTCAAATGCTTCAGCCGAGGAACATTTGTGTAGGACCTACCCGATTTGGTCTGCTTCATGTCCACAACCTTGGCGTTGGCGCTCATCTGATAGAGGGTTTCCAGGAGCTGGCTGGTCTTGCGATACAGCGTTTGTGTGGCCAGACCTTCTCCCTGCCTGTTCTTAGGGAGGGAAATCTTGGGCACCTGCAGAGGTGTCAGGCTGGCCAGCTCCATCTTCATCTGGGCTCCCTGGGACCGAGGGGGAGAAGGTCAGGGGCAGGGTTTTTATTTGGGAGAAATTGAGGAGAGAAAAATGAGACGTAAAAACAGCAGAAAGGAGGGCCCAAACAAAACAAAAAAGGGAATAAAACTGTAGCCAAACCCACCAGAGGGTGGATCTTCCAATGGTGGGAGCACAGATGCCCACGGACAGCAGCGATGTCCCAAAAGCACCAGGACACCGGTGGGAAGCCTTTGGACAACCAGCAGAGCACATGTAACACTTGGGGAGAGGGAAACAGGTTGGCGCTTACAGAACCGTAACTCAATGGTGGCCACGTATGTGACTCATTAGATTTAAGACCTATCATTAACAGCTTCACAGTTGTGCATAATGATCTGCATAATTATATGCCTGTGAATTAATATTAGTGGAATGTTATTCAGTTAATTAGATTATTTGCTGCTATGCCAATTTCCTCATAGTGTGTTTGTTAATCAATAAATGCCTTAATCAGTCTGCATCAGTCAGCGTGTGGAGCCCCCAGTCTGAAGCGGGGACCAAAGCTGGGCAGTGATGCCACCAGCACCGCTGGCTCTGGCGGCCACTCCAGCTTCCAGCCACTGACCCTGAGCTCGGACCATGGGCTCGGCTCCTTCCCCCAGAGCCAAAGCCCCTTCCCCGAAGGAGCCAAAACTCATCACTAGCAGAGAGCTTACTGTGAGCCCCGCAGCAGAGCTGTGCTCCTGACCACCACCAGACATGGTGGACCAAGCGCCTTTCCGCCAGTTCGTCCCATGCGGACCACATCCCATGGACACAGCACCCTACGCTGACCGTATCCCACGCTGACCTCCCTTCCCCGGCCTTTCCTGGCCTCTTGGGACACAACTTTGTCCAAGACCATCAGCTGAAGGCAGGCACCAACACAGCGCAAGCCCCCAGCCCCGAGCCTGCCACTGGAGGAAGGCGAATGCCCCTGAGCAGTGCCACAGCGCTGCAGGACAGCCCTTCCCTCGGGCTGCCATGCTCCAACGGCACAGCCCGAGACTCCCGCCACAGGAACGGGAATGGCACAGCCGTACCCCGGCTGGGCTCGGCTCTCCACGGAGCCCCCCCTCTGTAAAGCAGAGTCCAACACGCCTCTCACCATTCCCCTGTTTCTTTTTCCCGAGTGTCCTGGTTTCAGCTGTTAATTCAGAGTTAATTGTCTTCCTAGTCGCTGCTGGGTTTTGGATTTAGTATGAGAATAATGTTGATAACACATATTGTTTTACTTGTTGCTAAGTAATGTTTATATTAAGTCAAGGACTTTTTTCAGCTTCCCATAGAAGCTGAGAGGGAGTGCACCCAGGACAAGCTGGCCAAAGGAATATTCCATACGTAGATATCATGCTCGGTATATAAATGGGGGTTGGCCAGGGAAGGGGGGGCAGGAATCAGATTGCTGCTCGGGACAGGCTGCAATCGATCAAATGATGAAAGCAATTGTATTGCATCACTTATTTTGTATATTCTTTTACCATTATTATTGTTTTCCCTTCCATTACTGTTCTGTTAAATTTTTATCTCAACCAGTAAGGTTGGGGTGTTGTTTTTTTTCTCTTTTTTCCCTCCCTTTTCTCCCCACCCTGCGGAGCGCGGGGTGAGTGAGTGAACAGCTGTGTGGTCCTAGTTGCCCACAGAGCGGAGGGCAGAGCTGCTCTGCTTCGTTGGAGACAGCACATCACCACCGGCAGTGCTGACAGCAGCCGGAGCCTCAGGTTGCTCTGCCCAGCCCCAGGGCATGCGTCATGTCCCCTCCCCTGTGCCATGGCACCACGCTCCCTCCCCACCACCCCACACCTTGCCCTCCCTCTTCTCCTGCTCGACCTCCCAACATATGGCACATCTGAGCCCCGGCACTCCGGGACCTGCTGGGACCCGCTCAATGCTGCGGGCGCCCGGGGATGCTCTGCTGGGTGAGACACCTCCCCGCACCTCACCTTGAGCAGGTTGTTCTCGTTCTTGAGGTGCTTGATGGAAAGCTGCAGGGCATCAATTTGCTGGAGAAGAAGAGGCGAGTCCTTCACCTGGACAGGTCCTGAGCCACCTCCCGTCACCTGGCCGG